GGAGGATGTAGCCAGTGTTGTGTTGCTGCTTTGCTCTTTGAAGTAGATCTAATGCAGCTTTGCTATTTTGATGTCCAGCTACACCAGCCTGGGCCACCAGAGCGAAGCATCATTCGGAGGTGGGAGTGGGGTTCAGTTGGTGTCTCAAATCAAGTCTTGTTTACATATTCCAGCAGGTGAGCTTCAGAATTTTTTTTCTCATCTTCTGAAGTGCAATTTGGAGCTGGCGTTCTCTGTCACTTTGCTGCCACATCAAGAGATGATTGCATCAAGTCACCTGGGCACATGTGTCTGCGTGGATTTCCTCCAACAGTCCAAAGATGTGCAGGCTAGGTGGATTGGCCATGCTAAATTGCCCATAGTGTTCAGGGATGTGTAGATTAGGTGGGTTATAGGGGGATGGGTCAGAGTGGGATGCTCTCAGTGTCGGTGTGGACTTGTTGGGCCGAAGGGCCTGTTTCCACACTGTAGGGATTCTGTTGTTCTGGCTCTCTCTACCCTATGGTCATTCCACCATACAACTCTTTTGAACGGATTTTATCATTGAATTTATGATCATGCTCTTCCTGCACCTCATCTGATGCTGCCTGGCCTGCCGTGTTCATCCAGCTGTACACCTTGTTATCTCAGATTCTCCAGCATCGGCAGTTCCTACTATCTCTCCTGGAAAATCATTCAGTATTTTTGGCTGCATCAGTTTTGTCCAGTTTCAAGGAGGGTTTCTTTCAGTGAGTTCTAGTATATTTTCCTCACCACACCTTACTAAACTTCCCTCATTAAATATCCAGAGTATAATGTGGAAAAATATAAAGTTGTTCATTTAGGAAAGAAGCTCAACAGAACAGAATATTATTTAAATGGAGAAACTCCAGAAAGCTGTAATACAAAGGAACTTGGGGATACTTGCGCAAACACCACAGAAAGCTAGCACATAGCTATAGCAGGTAATCAGGAAAGTGAATGGAATGTTGGCCCTTATTTCAAGGAGGGTTGGAGTATCAGATTGTGGGAGGCTTACAGCAACTGTGCAAAGTGCTGGTGAGATCACATCTGGAGTACTGTGAATAGTTTTGGAGAGATATTTAATTAGAGAAGGTTCACAAGGATGATCTCTGGTATTGCCTTATGAACAATGACACAAGTTGCAACTGCTCATTGGAGTTTAGAAGAATGAGAGTGATTTCGTTGAAAAATATCAGATTCTTAAGAGACTTGAGACACTGAGATGTTTCCCCTCATGAGAAAAGTTTAGGTCCAGAGGGGATAATCTGAGAATAAAGTGGCACCAATTTAAGGCTGAGATGAGGAGGAATTTCTTTTCTCAGAACATTGGGAGTCTTTGGAACTCCTTGCCACAGAGAGCTATGAGGCCATCGTCCTTGTGTGTATTTAAGGCTGCGAAAGATTCTTGACCAGTCGGGGAATCAAGCATTATAGGGAAAGGGTAGGAAAATAGACATGAGGAATGTCGGATGAGCCATGATCCTATTCAATGGTGGAGCAGGCTGAAGGGGCCTATTTCTTGTGGTCTTATGGTCTTATCTAACTTTTCCCTATGCCAACCCATTTGCTCAATTCTAGTCCCATTCTATTTGTTCCTGGAAAAACTCGCCACTTGTTGGATTTGTGCTGAAATACCAGTATACCTGGCACATGCACCATTTTAGAAAGACCACTGTGCACCCAACAAGCATTGCCCATTCTCTCATCCTTGTCACTGTTTAATCACCAGGTCATAAAGTTTATTCAGGAACAAAAACAAAAAGAGAGTTAACGTTTCGGGCCTGGTGACCCTTCCTCAGAGGTGCTTTCGGTTTTCATAGTGTTTACTTGTCCTTAACTACATCCCAACTAGCCAACATCTCTAAGCCAGCATTATTTCATCCCGAATGTCCCCTCTAGTCCCGTCTCTTGTCATTGTCTAGGAGGGGAAAATCACAAACAGACAAGCAATTAGACAATTCAAAGCTGTAAACTTTTATTTACAGCTAACAAAAGGAAAGACAAATAAAATCAATGCAGGCTGCATTTCACCTCCACAATGAAAACTAAATGTTACCATGATGACCAATGATTATGTTACATTCCATGATAGTCTGCTGTACCCAGCTGTCATCTACTGGAATCAGGTATCAATCTGTCTGTAGCACTGTACACAGCTGAGCTCTATTGTGGAGAAGGAGAGCTTCCTCCTCATTTTCCTCTTCAGAAAATTGCTTCCTTTCCCCAGTTCTTCAGTATCTATTACATCATCTTGTTCTTGCTTCAATTGTACAGAACAAAGCACGCCAGAATAATATGGCATACTCTGTCTGAACTATTTTGAAAAGCTATTCCACCGGACCAATCCAAGCAGTGGAACCACATCTTCAGCAGCCGCATTGTCTGTTCCGCCATGGCCCTGGTCAAGTAATGAGCTATATTGTATATGCATTAGTCAGGGAGTTATAAAATGGTGTTATGAACCGTGGTCACAATGGATAATCCTTATCATCCCCATAACAATCCTTGTAGAGTATCTGGATCCTCAATTGCAACAGGTGCTTGATAGTACTCCAGCATGTAGGAGTCACGGTAGCTGTCAGGGTAGCAGCCCCATACCTTCAGGATGTGGTAACGGTGACCATCGATCACGTTACTATTAATGGAATGAAATTCCATCTTGTCAGTGAATTCCACAGTGCTGTGTTACGGCCCTCTCAGTGCCACATAGTCAATGGTGCCCTGCACCTCAGGGAAACATCTATATTCTTGAATCCTACTGCCAGACTGCATCACTGACCCTGTGAAGGAGAATGAAGTGAACTGGTATGATCTTGACAAGATGGCATCAGTCACTGTTCTGAAGCATTGTGGGAGCACAACTAAGAGATCCCACACAGGTGGGGGAGGAAGCCAGTCATAGATGTTTAGAATAACACCTTCACAGTCAGTGGGAGAGGATGACCTTCTACTTCTGCAGCCCTCACATCCCAATCCAGCATTTGACACAGCTCTGCCATGGTTTCCTGGAAAGTATGCAGCCTGTGGGGATGCTCTGCTTCTTGATTGCCAGGATATGGATTCAGATGTGAAAAACTTAGTCCTCCTTAGGTTCTGATGCATCCTGAGGAACCTACAGCAGTGACCTCTCCCTGACCTGGCTGCTGCACATCCTCCATGGGGTATGTAGTTTTGCTGTTGGACTGGTCCTCCTGTACGTATCTTCACCTCCTCAGGAAGGCAGCCACTTCCCAAAGTTAGGTGAATTTTCCAGCCTTGTTTAAATTCTCATAAGCTTTTCCTCTTAAATCTTTGCTGAAGTTTCCACTGCCTTCTACATGGTGAATAATAAAGATAACATTTTCGGTGCTTCGATTGCAGGACTGGCTACCCTCTCTCTCTTTGCTTTCTCACACATTCTTGCAGACTGATCTATCCATGAGGTTAAGAGTTATTTTTAAAAAATCCCTGTGAATTGATACTGCAAAAGCTTTCTAGAGAATCTCAAGCTCTTGAAGACCATTCCTATGGCAACCCGAATCATATGAGCCTTGTGTCCCTGTAGATATTCAAAGCAGTTATCTTTTTGACTTTGAACTCGTCTCAATTTTCCAAATCAAGTCAACAGTTTATAATCATTTATTAAGCCATTTTTATTTCTAACATTTTTTTGTGAAACCTGGACACTATCAATTTACCTGTTGCCGACACAGATCTTCTTGCCGTTGCCTACTAGTGTGAATATCTTGCACCTTTTTCACAATAAATCAATGCAGCCTTTTAACCTTTACAAAGCAAGCCTTCTAGGCTTGTTGTTGGACAAAATCCGAAGCAGATTACTTGACCATCTTCATTGCATCATGTTACCTTAAATTAAAAAGGTAAGTCCAAAATATAGCAATCTTATTCATTTCATATTTGTAATCCCTGTCTTGTAATTTGCACAGTGTCATGAAAGCAAGCATAAGTGAAAAGACAGTGCAGCTATTTGATAATAACAAATTTATTTGTAATGCCAAGATACTATTTTTTTGAGATAAAGATTTTTCAGATATTAAGTAGGAGATCATCAGGCAGGCTTATTAATCTTCTTGATGATACTCAGTTTTAGTAAGACATAAAGTTCATTGACTATGTACATTAAACTTTAATTATTCTTCATATTTAGCATTTAAATCTGCTGTTTATGTGTTTGCTTAGATGTTTCGGCTCCTAGATTATTGGATATCAAGCGAATCGTGTCAATGAGGCTGTGCTGATGTAGCTTCTCTTAAAGATAACTTTCACCAAAAATGAAAAAGGAAATCCTATTTGGAATTAGCTAATAAATGATCATGTAGTGCAACCATTCTCAAAATTAGCTTTGCATCCCAATGCTGATTTCTGTGTGCAACTAACAGTCAAATATCTAGTGTAATTCAGTGGAAAGATAAAAATCTTTGAATTTCAACAAATTTTGCAATAGGTACAGTTAAAATTTCAATGTTTTGCCCGTTTGGTATTAATGAACAATTAAAAAGACAATGTGGTTTGCAATGTTGTAGGTTTTATTTTGCATGCTTTCAAGCAGGCTGATCCCCAGGGGACTGCTTTCTAAGCTCCTTCACCATCTTTTAAGAAATTGAGAAAAGGCTGTATGACAGAACAGAACTGACATTTACCTTCTTCCTTCAATCATCCAATGTCTTTTTTTCAATTTAAGCAGGCAACATGCATTATCTGTCCAATATTGTTGAAAATTTGTCTGGAGAAAAACCTGTTGAACTGCAAAGTCTAAACCCTGGTGAAAATAGAAAGAAAGACCTATCGATGTTTTTTAAGTAGAAAAATTCAAACGAATCAGGGACAACACGAGCAACAACGTGGAACAGGTCCGCTAGAACTGTAGTAACATCCAGACAATTGAGAAAAGTAACTATTTCATTGCAAAGCTTACCTCAAACCGCCATATCAATTTGCATTTGATGTCCAGTTTATTTACTGCTAAATGACTAATTCTGTTTGCAATTTCTTTTCAGGGGAACATCTGCGAATATGTTCAAAAGGTTTCACATGCTGCACCTCAGAGATGGAGGATAAGCTGAGCCAGCAAAGCAAATTGGAGTTTGAAAACATGGTAGAAGAAACCAGTCACGTTCTGCGTACAACATTTGTTTCCAGGCATAAGAAATTTGATGGTGAGTGTATTGGCAATTTCGAAATTTTGCAGTTTTGCGATCTTTCATCTGATATAGCAAAGATCAAGAAAGATCTCAAAAGAGTAATAGTACTGGAAGGAGTCCAGATACACCTCATGTGAGGAAGCTGCTGTATCCCTTTGTTATCCAATAACACATAATTCTAGGTCTCAAGGTTACGCTGAACACAGTCTCTTGAAAGATTTTGTTTATTCTTTCAGTTTTAGGTTTGAACTCAGTGTCTGGAACAATGTACCTCACAAAAATGTAACTTTTTTTTGATGTAGAAAGGAATATCACTCTTTAGCCTACTGTCCTTGTCACAAAGGAGATTAGTAGTTATCAGTGAAGTACCAACAATTAATTCAATTGAAAGTTTTACACAATGTCATTGACTACAAAGAAGAAGCACAGTCACTTTGCTCAGCTTGATTCATATTTGTATGAAGAATCATTGTTGAAAAGAGGCAGTTCAGCCAACAAGTCCATACTGACCCTCCAAAGAGTATCCCTGCCCAGACCAAGACACGACCCTATCCCCATAGCTACACATTTCTCATGGCTAACACACCTAGTCTGCACATCCCTAGACACTACGGACAATTTACCGTGGCCAACCATCTAACCTGCATATCTTTGGACTATGGAAGGAAACTGGAGTACACAAAGGAAGCCCACGTGGACACGGGGAGAACATGCAAACACCACACAGTCAGTCACCCAAGGCTGGAATTGAACTTTGGTCCCTAGCACTGTGAGGCAGTAGCACTAACCATTGAGCCACTGCGCCACCCAAACTTCACTGACAGACATGTCGCAATAGATCTTGACATTGCCTTGACTTTCAGATTTTTGTTTCTTTTGAAATCACATCCTGATTTAAATGGTTAACTCAAGTTATATTACAGCTGTACTAGCACCCAGGAAAGTGGAGAACAATGCAATTGTGTTCATAAAATATCTGCTTTCACATTCCGTACAACAGATTTGTCACCTCACTATTCAAATGGCAGTGAGTTTTTAAATCTGCAAGGAGGATTTGTAGCAGTCTGATCCTTGTCAACATTGACATGATTAAGCATAATGTTTGAGAAGTTTCCAAGTATCTGGAACAAGAGGACTACCTACTGATAAAGTACCCAACAAGTATGAACAGTCTCCTAAAGTTCCAAGAGAAGCAAAGGAAGAAATACAGGAGGATTTGAGTATCCTTTTCCAGCCATGGCTGGTTACAATCAGTGCTAGAAGATTGGAAGAGGTATTGATTGTAATGAGGTCAGCTAGGTGGACTTCATAAAATCTAAGTTCCCTGATTGGAGCTGTTAATCTGGTCTAACAGACACAAACAGGAGTGCCAGAGATTCTATTCACTCTGAGAGCTGACTCGGAGGAAACTGGATCAGTGTCAAGGACTATCCACGTGCAAATAAAGGGTGACTAGGTGACGGAATACCGGCCTCTGTGAAATTATTTCAGTGGTGACGAGAGAAAAGCATGCTCCTGAAGCAAATCATTCTCATCTTCAGAGATGCCCCAGACGCAAGAGGTGAGCTACTATGCATTACACTCTGCCTGTATTACTGGCAGAGTTGGAGGGACCTCACCCGATGCTAAAATGCCTCAGGAGGGGCTACAAAAAAAAAAGGCCTATGTCCTTGAACTCAGAGGGGCAGAGATGTGGTAATTGTAATGAGGTCAGCCAGGTGGGCCTCATAGAATATGAGTTTCCTGATTGGAGCTGTTAATCTGGTCCAATCAGGGAGCCTTGGTTTACAGATATAAATAGGAGTGTCAGAGGATCTGTTCAATCTAAGAGTTGGCTCTGAGGAAACTAGATCAGTGTTAAGGGCCCTCCACATGCGGGCGGGTGGAACAAACAAACAAACAAACAAACAAACAAACAAACGGACGAATGAAGGGACGGACAAAGGAACGAAGGAAGGAAGGAATGAATGAAGGAATGCAGGAATGAAGGAAGGAACGAATGAAGGAATGTAGGAACGAAGGAAGGAATGAACGAACGACGATGAGACACTGATGTCTGTGGGGTTAGTTCGGAAGGCCACCAACATCGTGTCATTGCCCAAAAAGAGCAGACGTGACAGTTGAAGTTTAGCCAGCCTAAACTCGGTGATGGGCAAACTGAGAGAAGATTAAAATAAAACATCGTTCAGAGGGACGGTGAGAAAGAATTTGTAAAAGGAAGGTCTGGCCTAACTAAATCGATTGTATCAGGAGATGACTGGTAGGATTGACGAGGGCGACGGATTTGTTAAAATCCAAATGTACTGGAAAAGTGGTTTGACATGGGCAGAACCTTGTGGATGTAAAGGAGGCTTGAGCCACTGGCTGGAGAGCCGGCAAGTGTCCCATATTGCCTCATCACCAGAAGGCACCCTGCCTCTTGTTCCACTCAAACATTTGGCATGTTAGTCGTGGTCCTTCACCACAAATTAGCACAAAGTGACATGATCACGATGCTGAATAGGATAGCCATTGAACAAATCTAGGATTTTAGACTGGGCATCCATGAGGCATTATAGGCCATCAATAGCAGCAGAATTGCACTCCAGTACAATCTGCAACCTCATGGCCTGGCATGTCCTCTACTCAACCATTACCGTCAAGGTAGAGGATCAACCACAGATTCACTGGAGAGTGCAGGACGGCATGCCCAGAGCAGAACCAGGCATACCTGAAAATGAAGTATCAACCTGGTAAAGTTACCAAACAGGACTACTTGCATGCCAAACATCATAAGTAGCAAGTGATAGATATAAGTGATCTCACTACCAACAGATCAGATCTAAATTCTGCAGTCCTGCCACATCCAGTTGTGAATGGTGATGAACAATTAAACAACTCCCTGTAGGAGGAGGCTTCACAAATATCACCATCCTCAATGATGGAAGAGCCTAATGTACAAGTACAAAAAGTAAGGCTGAAGCATTCACAGCAAGCTTCAACCAGAACTGTTAAGAGGGTGGTCCATCTCGGCCTCCTTGGATGGTTCCCAGTAATAGATACCAGTCTTCAGCCAATTCAGTTCACTCCATGTGATATCAAGAAATGGTTGGAGGCACTGGATACAGCAAAGGCTAGGGGCCCTTACAAAATTTCAACAATAGTACTGCTCCCCCAACCAAGCTGTTCCAGTACAGTTACTGGCATCTACTCAACCATGTGGAAAATTGCCCATGTATGTCCTGTACATAAAAAGCAGGACAAATCCAACCCAGCCAATTACCACCCCATTTGTTTACTCTCAATCATCAGTAAAGTGATGGAAGGTGTCATCAACAGTGCTGACACTGTTGCAACATCTGCTTGGAAATAATCTGCTCAGTGATGCCCAGTTTAGGTTCTGCCAGGGCCAGTTAGTCCTGACCTCATCACAGCATAGGTTCAAACATAGACTAAAGAGCTGAATTCCAGAGGTGAAATTAGAGTGACATTTGATCAATTGTGGCATCAAAGAGTCCTAGGTATTATTTACTTCCTGGTTTGTTGTCTGTGAGAGTTCTACAGTGTGTTTGGCTGCTTACCCTGCTTGGTGATATCACTGTTGGTGGAGGCCTGGAGATTCTTTTGATGAGGCACAAGACTCAAACAGGTGTTGTGAAATTGCAAACCCACACCACAGAGACTGATAGTCCTTTGTGGGCAGCTTTTTTAAAATGTCAGGTAGACCACTATCAGGTAGACTGTGTAAGCCAGCACATTAACATTCAGTTTCTCATAGAAAGTCTATCACATGTTGGCAATAGAATACATGTTGGCCAGGCACTACATGGAAAAGAAATGTTGTTGGGCTCCTATTTCACGGTTGACTCTGTCACTTGCAATTTACCCAATTGTTGTTCCGCATGGAGATTCTTATTCATAGACAATTACAATATGTTCAGTGATACAGAAACATGGCATGGTTATGGTGCAGAAAGAGAACAAATTACTTTTATCAATGAACCTTGAAAGACATTTGTGTAATTGAATACATTGTAGTGGATGTCCAGTTCACTGTTGTGTATGAGAATAGTCACTTGCAATCCTAACATTTGAAAGGTACAGTCTGCCCATATAAGCATACAAAACAATACTTTTCACTGTATCTCAGTACATGTGACAACAATAAATCAAACTTAACCTCATTGAAGAAAGCAGTACCTCGACACTATCCAGTTAATGGTAAAAAGTTGCAGCATGTTGCTATGCAGAGGGACCTGGGTGTCCTTGTGCATGAATCACAGAAGATAGGTTTGCAGGTACAACAAGTGATTAGGAAGGCAAATGGAATTTTGTCCTTCATTGCTAAAGGAATTGAGATTAAAAGCAGAGAGGTTATGTTGCAGCTGTACAAGGTGCTGGTAAAATCACACCTGGAGTACTGTGTGCAGTTTTGGTCTCCTTACTTGAGAAAGCATGTACTGGCACTGGAGGGGGTGCAAAGCAGGTTCACTAGGTTGATTCCAGAGTTGAGGGGGTTGGCTTATGAGGAGAGACTGACTAGATTGGGATTATATTCATTGGAATTCAGAAGATTGAGGGGGGGTCTTATAGAAACATGTAAAATTATGAAGGGAATAGATAAGATAGAAGTAGAGAGGATGTTTCCACTGGCAGGTGAAGCTAGGACAAGAGGGCATAGCCTCAAGATTAGAGGGAGCAGATTTAGGACTGAATTGAGAAGGAACTTCTTCACCCAGAAGGTTGTTAATCTATGGAATTCCTTGCCCAGTGGAGTAGTTGATGCTACTTCAGTAAACGTTTTTAAAGATAAGGTAGATTTTTTTTGAACAATATAGGAATTAAGGGATACGGTGAGAACACGGGTAAGTGGATCTGAGTCCACGAAAAGATCAGCCATGATCTTATTGAATGGCGGAGCAGGCTCGAAGGGCCGGACGGCCTACTCCTGCTCCTAGCCCTTATGTTCTTATGTTCTGAACTAAACTCTAAAAATAGCCAAGGGACATCTCCAGCAATATTTCCTCTCATAATAC